TTATATGAGGGACAGACAGATAGACAGGCGCTCCGAAGCTGAGATGGAGCGATGTACAGATATGCGGCAGCACAGAGGACGATGAACTGAAAACTGAGCTAGTGATGTTCTCATGGATGACGTCACCGGCGACCAGCCGCGACCTGCGACTGCAGCTTTGGACCTGCTGTGAACACACCAGGGGACCACGCGACGCGACGTGACCGACCAACGCGACGCGACCTGGTCGCGTTTGGTCTGAACACCCCTTAAGGCTTGACACACTCTTTCTCTCCTTTGTCCCTTATTTCTTCACAAGGCCACATTTCAGCTCCTCTCGTTCTCCACATCCCCCCTCCTCTCTCTGTTCTCTGAAGGAATATCTTATGTTGTTGCCCTTGCCGTCTGTATAGATTGTGAATTCCAGCTACAGCGTGTCTGATTCATTGGTATGCAGAGTGCAGGACACAAGGAGTGGATGTGTCAGGCCAAATCGGCGTGTACGGGTTTATTGAAATACTCTCCTCATTCTACCTGTAATTGCTCTCTGCTCCTTTTTTCTTTTTCCGTCCCAGCAGTTCTCTCAATTTCTTTTCATCTCTTTCCCTGTTCCCTGTCCTCTTCCTCATCTGTCTCCCACTATTTAGAACGTCCCCTATTACTCCCTCCACTTCCTCTATTTCCTCATCGTTCCTCCCTTACGCTTTCTCCTTCCTCTGCTGCTTCCTTCCTCTGTTTTTCATCTTCATTATCATTCCACCCTCACCTCACCTCAGTGTTCCTCCTTTGTCACCTGTGAGACTGGAGCGGAGGATAACTCAGATTCCATCATGGCTCTCATGAATAGGTTATGCAGATGTCACTGACACCACTACACCTCATAAATACACGGCTTATTACCTGCCTCCTCTGCAGCACACCTTTAAGGGCCTGTTCATCTCTCCTAACTAGCTGTCTCATAAAGTATACTCGGAATGTGTAGCATTTGGTCTAACAGCACAGCAAATGTAGGTACAGCAGATCTTTGGTTTACCTGTTCTGAATAGGGTTCATGCTGGTCTGGATGTGTCTGCTGTTTTTAGCCTCAACTAAAACTTAAACCTGTGTGTTTCACTCTCCTATTTCCTCTCATAGTCTGGTTTTGTGCAGCACATTCTCACTGCATCTGGGCCCTCCCAGAGAGACTCCCACAGGCTTCAACATCCAAATATTTGTGTGAAGACATGCAACAGATACCAGTGTTGCCAACCTTACTTCTTTCATTTTCTCCAACCCTGTCCTGAGGTGATTTAGAGTTTACTTTTGGGTCACACCTCCGCCTGGGATGAGTGAGAGTCTGGAGGCAGATCTAGGCTGTGGACAAAGACAGAACTATGAGCAGGATTCCCCCACTCTGACCTAACCTCAAAATCAGCTGAAGGTGCTGGAGAATCCTCCTTTTTGTGTGACCGTCTAATGTGCCATATGGTAGACAGAGATGGAGGAAAATGGAGAGGAAGGATGGGGTGAGGGTGAGCATTTCCTAGTGGATGTGGTGATTTGTCAACATTTACAAGTTGAATTCAGCTTCAATCACTACAGAGACAATCTCAACACGGCTCACAGCAGCATGGTGTACAAGAAAAATTACATCATATGCAGCAAAGATCTGCCATTGTATATGCCGCTGGTCATCTCCAGATGGCTGGACGCCGAAACACAGTTTGACTTGGCTTGGTTCAATGATGCATGTAAGCCACATTGACCACAAGTGAGCTCATCTGACCTGGCATCCTACTGCTGTCTGCATCATCCTTGTCTTTGTCTCATTTATTTACCCTCATGAGATGTTGTTGTTTTTTTATGTTAAAATCTTTGGCTACATCAGGAGCTTCGTGTTGGTGGCTTCCTCACCCTGGTGGGGTTCCAGCTGCTGAAATACAACCTACTTACGATGCATTATTCAGGTCATCATTGATTTTACACCAAACATTGATATGGAAAATGACTTTGCAGGTTAGAAAATGAGATGCAGCAATGGTGAAAATAATACGAATACTGATATGATCATCTCTGTAACAAATCATTGTAATTTTCATGTCTGTTTTTTAAATGAGCTTTGAGATTTGACAACATTGCTAACCATCATCACAAGTCGCTTTATTTAAGTCCCTTTAAAAGTCACTTGAACAAGTCTTACAAACTGCATGTCTCATATCATTCTTTGAACCAATGTTAAACTCCCACATTGCTGACATTTTCCATAACATTTGATCATGAAAACAAATAAGTGTTTGTAAAACAGGTGGCTTCTTGTTCCTGATAAACATAAATCAATAAATAAATAAACCTGTAGTTTTTAGCATGGCTGCATCAGCTTTGTTTCTCAAGACTGGAGGTTGCTGCTTTGGTGAGACCCACATTCATGCACTTGACACTGATGCTGTTGCATCTGTGTTTGTGAATGAAAGGTTATGCAATGCTGTTAATGAACCTGTTGGAGTTACCTATGATAAGGCTTTTATAATCAACTGCTTAGGCAGCTGATTTCATGCCCTATTTAGTTAGTAAAGATGCTGCAAAACCTAATAAAAAAAGGAGTTTTTAAAGGGTTTGGTCAACCCACCTACTTTTCACTAAACACACTCGTACTACGCTTCCTGCCTATGCCATTGGCTTGAGCTTGACTTCAGTACCTGAAACAAGCAGGATTTGAGACTTCTAATGGCAAAAATCTGAAGATGGCAAAGTCGGTCAAAAATTTAACTTAAGACATGGACACTGAAAGCAGCTAAACCTGTTAAAGGTCTGAGGTCTACAATGAAGAGGGTGTCCATGATCTTGCTCAAGTTGTCCATGAACAAGCTTACCATGTCAGAACAAGATTTGAATCCCTGTTCTTCCTCAAGTCAACAAGCTCCGTGTAAATGCTCCTAGTGATGGCAACATAGGTCTTTTGTAGAGATCCAGATCAGATTAAAAAGGCAAACCATTTTAAAGGTTACTTTAGGACATTGATAATTGTATTACATTTGACTAGACTTTTTATGTCACACAGCATTACTGTAATATCATATTTAAAGAGAGTATTGTCTATTTCCACAATTGACTGCAGTCCATTTCCCCCACATCCGCTTTTAATCTAAAAAAATTAGGCAGCCAATGGGTTTCACAGCAGCCAACTTCATTCTATTATCCAATACAGGCCTAAGGGATGTAAACAAATCGGCAGACTGTAATTGAAAACATCTCTTACTAGCAGAGAGCTTCAACTGATCAGATTCTCACTGTTCATTACAGAGGCCTCCTGACCAGACAGCGGAGACTGGCATAGTCAAGGTGGACTGATGAGAATACATCCTACAAAACCCAATTCCACTAAAGTTGGGAAATTGTGATAAACATAAATAAAAACAGAATACAATGATTTGCAAATCCTTTTCAACCTATATTCAATTGAATACACTTCAAAGACAAGATATTTAATGTTCAAACTCATAAACTTTATTTATTTTTTATTTTTTTCCAAATAATAATTAACTCAGAACTTCATGGCTGCAACACGTGCCAAAGTAGTTGGGACAAGGGTATGTTTACCACTGTGTTACATCACCTTTCCTTTTAACAACACTCAATAAAGTTTAGGAACTGAAGAGACTAATTGTTGAAGCTTTGAAGGTGCAATTCTTTCCCAGTCTTGCTTAATGTACAGCTTCAGTTGTTCAACAATCTGGGGTCTCCGTTGTTGTATTTTATGCCTCATAAGCGTAAAATACAACAACGGCATTGTCATTGTCATTGTCATTGGCATTGTCTTGCTGAAAAAAGCAGGGGCGTCCATGAAAAAGACATTGCTTGGATGGCAGCATATGTTGCTCCAAAACCTGCATGTACCTTTCAGCATTAATGTTGCCTTCACAGATGTGTAAGTTACCCATGCCTTGGGCACTAATGCACCCCCATACCATCATAGATGCTGGCTTTTGAACTTTGTGTCGATAACAGTCCGGATGGTTCTTTTCCTTTTTGGCTCGGAGGACTCGACATCCACTATTTCCAAAAACAATTAGAAATGTGGACTCGTCAGACCAAAGAACACTTTTCCACTTTGTATCAGTCCATCTTAGATGAGCTTGGGTCCAGAGAAGCCGGCAGCATCTCTGGATGTTGTTGATAAATGGCTTTTGCTTTGCATAGTAGAGTTTTAACTTGCACTTACAGATATAGCGACGAACTGTATTTACTGATAGTGGTTTTCTGAAGTGTTCCTGAACCCATGTGATGATATCCTTTACACATTGATGGCGGTTTTTGATACAGTGTTGCCTGAGGGATCAAAGGTCATGGGCATTCAATATTGGTTTCCGGCCGTGCCACTTGCGTGCAGTGATTTCTCCAGATTCTCTGAACCTTTTGATGATATTATGGACTGTAGATGTTGAAATCCCCAAATTCCTTGCAATTGTACTTTGAGAAACATTGTTCTTAAACTGTTTGTGAACAACCGCATGAGCAAATAGTCAAAGTGGTGAAACTTGCCCCATCCTTGCTTGTGAATGACTGAGAATTTTTGGGGAAGCTGCTTTTATACCCAATCATGGCACCCACCTGTTCCCAATTAGCCTGCTCACCTGTGGGATGTTCCCAACAGGTGTTGATGAGCATCCCTCAAATTTCTCAGTATTTTTTGCCACATTTCCCAACCTCTTTGCCACATGTTGCTGCCATCAAATTCTAAGCTTAATGATTATTTGCAACAAAAAAAAGTTTTTGAGTTTTAACATTAAATATCTTGTCTTTGTAGTGTATTCAATTGAATATAGGTTGAAAAAGATTTGCAAATCATTGTATTCTGTTTTCATTTACGTTTATCACAATTTCCTAACTTCAATGGAATTGGGTTTTGTTCATGACTGACCACTGAGGTCAAACACTGTAAATTTAAGAGTGCACAGCTGGAGAGAAGGAGCTTGAAAAATGTTGATTGAAAAAAAGAGTTGTCTTCCATGTTTAACTCTTTCCACAACAGCGGGAAAAGTGGTGTGCAGGAAAGTCCAGGGGAGTTGTCAGATCATGTCTTTCCCCTCTGTGAATCTACATCTGTTGCAGTCTGGGAGACAGCTGTTCCTATAGGGAGAGGCAGCAGGCAGATAGAGCCCCTCTGCTCCCCCTCCACGCCTCACTTTCTACATCTATCCATCAACCATCATACTCACCCGTATCCTTCCTTCCGCTCCAACCTGTTCCCTGGTACTGATACCCAGCCTCTCGACACAAAGTTCATCCATCCATGGTCTTCGTTTCCCACCTCATTACTCCCCATTTACAATGTGAATACATTCCCAGATGAATGTCTTTTCTTTTATTAGCCTCCAGAAAGGTTGGTCTTGGATGTGAGTGCTCCACTTTTCTTTCAATCTGATGCATGGGAACTGTGAAGGAGATATTCATGTCTTGTAAGCCTGCAGCAAAATCTTAGAGTGAGCACATACAAAGAAAGTAGTTTGCCCTGCCGTTTGAAAGAAATGGACAGATCTGATCAACCTAAATGAAGCATTTCATTTCTCTCTACTCAATTTCTTTTGTAGTTATGAATAGGAGGTATGGATGGGGAGGAATAAGGCTGGCAAAATAGAGATTACTCAAGCCCAAGGATATAGGGAAATATTGGGAGGAAATGTCATTTCAGTATTTTATTAGCAGATGTCTTCCTATGACAGCAAAAGCAGAGAAAATCCAGAATTTAAAGACAAAAACTGGCTATGAAAGGCAAACATACCAAATCTGTGTATTTTGTATATTGGTCTTTGTATATTGGTTTACTCGTGTATAAAGTAAACACTTAATAATAATAATAATAATCATTTTTTGCATTTGTATAGCGACTTTCAAGATACCCAAAGCGCTTAACAACACACTACGATAAAAATAACTAGATACCAAAAGCCTGGATAAACAAGTGTCGCTTCAGAGCAGACTTGAAAGAGTCAAGAGTCTGTGCTTGGCGAATCTCAGAGGGGAGAGAGTTCCAGAGAGGAGGGGCAGCCACACTGAAGGCTCTGTCACCGAGGGATCGCCTTTTCCCATGACGGACAGTGAGGAACACTTCACAGAACACTGTCAAAACACTGATTTCAAAAAAGGATTTGTGGACAATGACACTAACAAGGCCAAAGAACAGACTTTGCTGCGACTCTGGTTCATGCAGTTGATGTAAAATTGAGTGCCGTAAACAAAAACAAAGTCAGTTTATTTTGTGAGAACTAAAGTGTTAGCTATTACTGTGGATGATGCTAAAACAGAGGCCCCTATTGCGCAACAGACACAAAGTGTTTCAGCAGCTTTTAAACTGTGGAGGTGTCATTGACGTAGTCATCATTTTCATGACCAGTACCCAAGCTCTGTCAATAACAAATTAACTTTATGAGGATGTGGTTGGAGAGGACAGGGCTGTGCCTTGGGCCAACAAAAACCAGGTCTGATCAGGTCTAACCTTATCAAGCAGCAAAGCTGTCGAGAGGTGGCGCTGCAAGCCTGGTCTATAACACTGTGTCTGGTAGCACGCTCTGGTAGCACACCCAGCTCTGCGCTTTAAACCAGTGCATTGGTCACACAGTGTACAGGACCAAGCCCACTTTTAGATGATAAAATAAGAAAGAAGACATAATTGAATAGTTTTAGATTAATCTACCATGCGAAACAAACATCCCCTCAGCATCATGACTTTTTAATTTTATTGGTAATTTTAGTCTTAAATACCACCGAGCCATTCTCAGTTTCACTATTACTAACTACTGTCAGGCAAAGGAATAATGCATCAATCCATTCTCCTCCAATTTCAAACACAGGTTTTCATATTCATATGTTCTGAGGTTTTTATTTTCTATCCCAGTTCCCCCTGCGTTGGCGTGATATAGTCTAAATGAAACTTCAGTGTTGCAGAACAGTGTGTTTCATCTTACTTTGAAACCACTTAGGGGTAAATTTGACAGAAATAAGGGGAACATTAGGTTTCAAGTGGTAAAATAAAAGTCTAAGCTGCCGTTTGCAGAATTTCTCATGAACTGATTACAGCTGCTTTTTGCACGCTGAGATCCAAGACCTTTTTGTAGAGGAGTGTCAAATCCCACATGTTTCACTGCTGATGCACTAACCTAGTTTCTGTTTCAGCTGCAGGAAGCTCTCTTCACTCTCTGGCCCCATTTGGGGTTCATTTAAAGGATAGTCTGAGAGTTCCTGCTTGTGTGAATTGGGCATGTGCTCATGCAATGCATGTGCTTTTTCCTCCGTTGTAGCAAATTATCTTCTTCATTAATTTTGACACAAGGAAATTAGCCTGCTCTTTGCTTGAGGCTACGTCTAAATTAGAACGATGGGAGTAATCCAGAGATTTAAGGGCTCAGGAGATTTTCAGCCCTTTCTGGTGGAATAAAAAGACCCACATTTAAAGTGATTTCTCATCTGAGGTTATCAGACCGCCTTGCATATTAGCTTTAAGTGTGTGTTTTATTTATTATTTTGACAGAAAGAAGAAATTTTGACTCATTTTCCTCATGTCTCCACCATCTCTCCTCTGTCCCTCCATCTGTCATCCTTACCCCAGTTCAGTTTGGCTATTTTATGCAAGATGTGTTTGGGGCAGGCTGGCTCTCTGGGGAGCCGGCAGCAGATTCCAAACACAAGACATTTGACTTGAGTGTCAGAGGATGTACGCTCAGATACTCGCCTGCTGAGCCTCCCACCCACAGGCCTGTTGGGGCAGTTGTCAGCCTAGACACAATAGAGCATGGGAAAAAGAGGAGGAGAGAGAGGAAAGAGGAGGAGGTTAACAGCTGAGACAACCTTGTACTGTGCAGAGCTCTAACCCTATGGGAGGTACGTTGAGTGAAAGCTCACTGTGCTTGAGTGGTTTGCAGTACAGCTCGGTATTGTGCTGAACACAAGCACTATGTTGCATGTGGATCAGATTCTCTTCCACTTCATCGAGACCCTACTTGTGTGGTTTTCCTTTATTTTTAGGCAACTAGCGCCTCACAGTAAACTCATGATTAACAATAAGAATAATTCCTTCTATTAATTGTGATGTCCTTGCCAATACCCAGCCCCGATATTTTTTGCACATACAAGTTTTTGTTGTCAATGTCTTTGTGTGTTACCACCCTAAGTAAAAACACTTCTCTGTTAAACTTGATATCAGGTCATATCAGCATGGGTCTTAGGGTAAAATTTCATGTTTGAAAATCTCTCTATGAACAGATTTGGACTCTTGTTTTCATGCTTTAGGACTCCTATCTGAGGCCTAAAATAGCAGAAATTATCAATTCTAATATCCTTTTAATATCACACATGCAGCTCTAGGGTGGTCTGAATTGGACTTTTTCTTCCTGGAAAATGTCTCTGTTACAAAACCAGGTCTGTATCCTGGAGTGACCCCCTCCACTAGTTACACCACATTATGTCTGTTTTGACAGACCACCTCTCACATTTCATGCTAGCTCAGTGTCAGAGCTATTAGGGTGAAAAAGTTGACTCACTTAAACACAATAGACTTGGAGTGCTGCGTCATTCGCACATTGTCGTATGCCGGTCACAAATCTCTTGTTTTTGGTCATGACTCTGCTAATACCCCTTGAGGTCTGCAGCTTTCTAAAAGGTTAATCCATCAAATGATCTGTCACTAATGCAGGCAGAACCCACCAAATTCAGTCCAGCACCCTTGTCAGATGTAATTTGGGACTTGTGGATGTCACCCTTAGCTTAAAACACAATCTGTTATCAGTACAGCAGTTGACATTTAAACAGACCATGTGACGGGTTGGGGTTCTGAACCCAAAAGCAGCCAGACAGGAAGAAGGTTTTCACAGGTTTTATTGTGGGAGAATGTGCAGAAACAAAGGTAGTCTGGAGTCCAGAATAAACTAAAAGAGCGAGAGAGGGTGCTGTTCTAAAAGAGCTGGGGCCTCATGTATCAACGCTTGCGGCGCAAGAAAACCTTGCGTACGCCAAAATCGGCGCACACGTCCAGATTTATCATCGCGAAACGAGCGTCGGTTCCAGCGCTAATCAACGCAAAGTCAGGAGGTGGTGTAGAAATTGGCGTTGAGCTGGATATTTGCGTTGACTGTGATTCGCACTTTGGCGACGCTGTGTGGCGGTGTTTGGTGACTCACTATGTGACAAGCGTGCACCACATCCCCGTGGCCGGGCAGCACGTCGCCCCACATGACGAACCAGCAGCAGACGGAGGGATGCGAGCTGATCCCTGCCGGGCCGCCGTCCTCGCGCGGGAGAATCTCATCGCCACAGTGTGAATGGGTAAGAAGTGAATACACAGTTCAATGAGCCAAATTAATTTATTTTCTCCACCAGACGCTCGAGGAAATTTACGAGCCGGTCCAGCTGCTCGTTGATCCCCGCGATCCCCCTGATGATTTCTTCCTGCGATTGCAGGACCCCCTCCGCGAGGACCCTTCCACTGCGTCCGGGTGGTCCAGCGGAAGCGCCGCGGCTGGTGGACGCTCCACCGCTTGTCGGCGCGCTGGTGCTGATGCTGGTGCTGGGGCCGGGGGCCGGGGTGGCCCGAATGCCGCTGGTCCTGGCCGACGACTCCGAGCCGGCGGACGGGCTGCCGCGGGCCAGGGTTCCGCAAGCCGGCGACACGGCTGACACATTGATTTCTGTGACACAATAAAAATATTGGTTCATTTCAATTCCTGCTTCTGTGTATCTGTTGCGTTTACATCTCTCTCCACGGTATCATAGGTAATGTAATCCAGTATTTCGAGGTCAGTTATGCACATTACAGTTGTTTATTGCATAAAAAGTTATCGAAAAATGAAGTTAAGGGCGAAGTATAAATCACGTCTAAAAATAGACTGAATCCCGACGTTGAAATGAAGTATAAACTTAGACTAGACGTCTAATATACGTCTTTTGCTCAGTGGGATGACAAAGCATGTGGACATTTGTGTGACACGCCACTTACCCTATAATAATAATCGCCACCACCCGCTGCTCAAACGGTGTGAGGGTCTCCTCCCCGGACCCCCACCTGTCTGGCCGGTACTCTTCCGGAGGGCAGCTGTACGCCGCTTGACCTCCACCTTGAGGTCCGACCACTTTTTTTTAATCTCCGCGGGGGTGCGTGTCTCGGAACCCACCGCATTCACCCTCTCGCAAACTTTCTCCCACTCCAAGCGTTTTTGTTTTGCACTGACGCCACTGGACAGGCTGCCAAACAAAACACGCTGTCGCTCCTCCACCTCCGCCACCAGCACCTCCACCTCGCACGCCGTAAATGTAGTTTTTCTTGTCATTTTGTCTGCGTGCGAGGACAGGGAGACCCTATTTAAATAAATTTGCATATTTATAGGAGGGCGTAACGGGGACGGGCCCAGTCACTCCGACATCTGCGCTCAATTCCACGCTGATTGGGATTTATCAAGGAAACACACGTGGATTTCGGCGCCCGCACACATTGATACATACGGATTTTTTTCAGCGTGACGGACCTTGCGTGCGCTCGTTTCTGGTATGAGTTCCACGCAAGTGTTGATACATGAGGCCCCTGGTGTGTGGCACGGAGGGAGACACTGGAAAAAAAAAAAAAGAAAACAGGAGGATTAGAACCCAGGTAAATTTCACCATTAATCTTTACAAAAATATACACACTAGCCCCTTTCCTCTTCATCATAGTCCTTGATTATGCGCTCAGGAAGGCAATCATTGGGCGAGAGCAGGAACTTGGCTTCACGCTAACACCAAGGAGGTCGAGACGACACCCTGCAGTGGTCCTCACAGACCTCGACTACACGGATGACATAAGTCTGCTCTCCGACAACGTGGAACAAACACAAGAACTGCTGAACAGGGTAGAGCTAGAGTGCACCAAGGTTGGCCTTAAGCTAAATGCCAAGAAAACTGAGGTCATCACCTACAACGTTCCACCAGAACATCAACCTCTGACGACAGCAGGAAGCACTGTGCTGAAAGAAGTTGAGGACTTCAAATACCTGGGCTCATGGGTCAACTCAACTGAACAAGATCTAAAAGTGAGGAAGGCACTTGCATGGAGAGCCCTGAACGGCATGACCAGTGTATGGAACTCCAACCTCCCCCGCCAAATCAAACTCAGCTTCTTCTACGCGACAGTAGAGTCCGTTCTCCTCTATGGCAGTGAATGCTGGACACTGAAGCCAACCCTGGAGAAATCCCTAGATGGGTGCTACACCAGGATGTTGCGTGCTGTGCTAAACATCAACAAGAACGCACATGTAACCAACAGAGCACTGTACGAGGGAATACCAAGGGTGAGCGAGAAGATTGCTGTAAGGAGAATGAGACTAGCAGGGCACTGCCAAAGGCACTGGAAACTGACAGCCAGCAAATTGGTGCTGTGGGAACCAACACATGGGCATCGGTCAAGAGGATGTCCTACACTAATATACGTGGACATACTCAAGAAGGATGCAGGAGCTCAGAGTAGCAACGAACTGGCGAGATGTACGGAGAATCGGGATGACTGGAAGTGACGATGGAAGGCTCGTCTGAGGATGACCTAGAAAGAGAGAGCGAAAAATATACTTTGTTATCAAGATGTACAGCCATGTCACTGCATGGAGACAATAATACTCAGGCACTGAGCCTGAGGTCTGCAGCAGTCTTATACACTGATTGGGAACAGGTGAGTGCAATCAGCCTCAGCACCACAGAACAAAATAAAACGATAAGTCCATGCTCACCACAGACCAACTCTAAATACATTAAGATAAGGCTGATTGTGATATTACATGGACATCAACCTGGAGAGGCTCATTGAGATGGCATGTGGCCTTGTCAGCCCAGCATGAGGCCGATCCTCTAACACCTCCACTGACTTATCTCAGCAAAGTTAATCAATAATTCAGTAGAGGAAGTGCTGTGAAGAGAATGGCAATGCCCTTTTAAACACACAACACCTGACATAAAACGCCTATTTCCCTTCTCTAATGGTGAAGTGAGCACAGAGACACTGACTTTCTGTTTTCTTTTTTTCAAGTCATTAAATGGTATCCTCAGGAAATAACCAGTCATTCATTTATAATAGGATGCACAGGTGTGAAAACAACATTGCTTCCTCTCAGTGTGCACAAAGTTTTGTCTTAAAAAAAAAACAATATATTGATAATGGGCTACTAACTGGTTCTCTGACCCCCATGTATCCTCATAAAACTGAGGGAAGATGAAAAAGAATAAGAGGTATAACTTTATCCACAAAGGGAAATTCAATTGTATGTAGTCTCACGTGTCATGTCTCTAAAATTCATCTACTATTTTACTATGAGAGTTGTAAAGTCTGATGGCTGTGGGTACAAAAGATCTTCTGAATCTGTCTGTCCTGCAGTGAAGAGAGAGGAGCCATCCACCACCATTGGCCCTTTGGTCTATTAAGGTGTTGTGAAGTGGGTGATCAAAGTTCTTTATAATAGTCTCCACCTTCCTCAGTTTACATCTCTCCACTACATCCTCCAGTGAGTCCAACTTGATACCAACCACAGAGCCAGCTTTTTTCAATAAGCAGCAGTGAAAGAACCAGTTAGCTGGCCTTTACCACAGTGTGAGGCTAATTCTGCAGTTAGAAACTGTGTTGGAGGAGAAAAAAGATAGCAGGGCAGTTCTCTATTCACACCCCAAAAAATCCAAGAGTGCCTGGCTGCTCCGATTGACTTCTGTAATCACATGCACATTAGGAAGTTGGACCTCTGCTTGCTTATTGAAAAAGAGGTGACCTCACTAACAAAAGTTGTTCTTAGATGTGTCTTTTCCACAAACTTACTGTAAAAAGTTAATACTTCAAGAGTTTGATATTTGAAATAGCAGTTAGGGATTCATGCAGGTATTTAAATGAGCAGATCTTCATTAGGAATAAAGTAGAGAGTGTCTATGATCTTACCAGCATGAAATTTGTTCATCTTGCCATTTTCTCAAACTAACAGTTTGGCAACTCATTGTAATATTATAAATTGAAAAGTTTATAACCAATTTGTACATATAAATCCCGAAGCTCCGTTGGCACGTGCTCAGTTGGATGATTGCCTCTTTTTGCAGTTTCAATATTTAACACAGAAAGTCTTTCAAAGAAAGTTTCGTAGGAACGACAACAGATTGCTTAATTCCTTTTGACATCTGAGATCCAAGCGAGGTCCAACTCACAGCTGTGCCTGCGCCTATTGAAGTTTCAACTGCACTCAGTTATAGTGAATAAATTCCCATTGTCTGTAAATGTTGGACTTTCTTTTGCAAATGCAGACCTTTTACTTTGACCCCATACTAACAAAGTAAAGCTTGGTTCAAAAATTTGAATCCGTTGTTTTGTGTTTCTCAGACTCATCTGGTAACATTTTCATTTGTACAGGATATGTGATGTAAAATTTCTCTCTGGGACTCTTTTTGCCTCTTCTTTTGTTTGGTCTCTCCTGACTGAACAAAAGGCAACACTTGGTGAGTACAAACAGGGCCTAGATTCTGCTTACATCGATAAAGGCATGTTTTCATCCATAAGAAAAGTGTAAATCATGTGTACCTCGCTCATGATATGATAGCGTAGGTCTTCTGGAGATCATGTGAACAAAAATCGTGTGGCTATTGATAGAGGTTCTCCCATATAACCTATAAAGTGTGAATCGGTCAGATGTGATAGATTTCAGGGAGGTCCATCAGTCAGTATCAGTTCCATTTTTCAGAGCCCCCCATGAGCCTCCACTAGTAGCTCATTCTATCAGCACCTTCTGTACCAGGAAGCCAGATAAAGAGATTGGAAGTGGTATCCATCATCTATCAATAACACAACGATGTCACTGAGCCATTGTGCACTGAAGTGCTGAGGCGACTGGGTGTTTTATAGAAGAAGTGGAACAACGGAGGGGGAAACAAATCAGCTTATCTTTCTGTAACTGTGAAGCTTTCCTCATGAGAGATTTTCTTCTCATTGTGACAATTCCTGCTCCTCCTCTGTCTTGCCCAATTTCTGTAGTCAAATCTAGCACAGCATTCATTGAAATTTTAAGACTGACTTCATCCAAAGAAAGGAAAGCATCCATCGTCAAATAAATCTTATCTTCTTCAATGACTTCTGTACCTGTAGGTCTTTTAAACTGGTTTGTGTCCTCCTCAGAGACTGAGGTTAAATAGACCGGACATTTGATAAACCTCTCCCTTTTGCCTCTGCAGCTATTTAAATTAGAAATATCCCTCTCCACTGACAAGTCCTCCTTACAGAGCAAAAAGTCAAACAAAGCAAACACAAGTCTAAGCTGATGGATTATTCATTGAGCGCATAATAAGACATTCTCACTTTGTGAAACTGCTTCCCTCCAAAAGGAGCCGCAGTGGAACCTGAGCGGGAATCTAAGGATGTAAAGAAACATGGAGCAGCTCCTTCAAGCTGTCACTTGTTCAGCTTTGCTTTTAGAGCGTAATCTTTGTTATGGTAATAGAGAGGGTGAAAAAAGCATGTTGCCGAACACCTTCAGAGCAGAGGAATTCTTTTGGTGTTCCCACACTGTATTCCCTTACATGTTTTCTGTAAATGAAATTTGCTACAGCATAAATATTCAATGTATGGAAAAGGGTATTGAACAAACCTTGAGTCCAATTTCTGCATTCATGTTCAGTCATTTTGTCCCTCTCTTTTTGCTGTTGTTTATTTGCCATTTGAAAATCCCAGAGCTGCTCATTAGGAACGGCCTTTTACTTCTCACTGGTGCTCCAGCTCTCCTTACCCACAGCAACATATTGTTAAGGCAGAGGTTTCCACAGACAATGATCGCACTTGAGAGGGGGGATAGAAAAGTGAGGGCCACTCAAAGCAGCACAATCACAACAAAAAAAAAAGAGAGCAAATAAATAAAATTGTAAAGTTACACAGCTGAATAAGAGAACGAACCGATTTCACACTGCTGTTTTCAGCCTGTTTTTAACTCACTTTCTCCTTTACTTGACTTGGTTTGACTGGAGTTAGGATTAATTTCAACAGGATAAAAGCTATTTGGCTTCCTACAGTGCTCCACTATGATGCATTCAAGGTCTAGTTAGTGAAATACATTGGGCAAAGGTACATAAAACATTATGATTGAAAGAAATACTAGTCTTGCTCTAAACATGTCTCTCTCTCCATAAGGCATCAAACACCCTAGAGGGTTTGGTAATGATATTTTTATTAATAAATCCATCCTTGTTTCTGAGTATAACACAATAAAACCATCAAATAAGAAAATGGAAATGGATGTCCTCAGTACACAAAAAGGGATTATTTTAAAGAGCCCATATGTAATAAATACCAGTGAGCTATTAATAACAGTTAACTATAGTAGAGTATCGTAACCTAAAATAAGATGTGATACAAGGCCCTTTTTTTTCTCTTCATTTTTATTTAGGTTGTCCATGCTAAATACATTTGCTATATTAAAGCTTGTCATTGCTGACTGAAGTATATATTGATTTTCATAAATTATGGGCTCTGTGGGACTTCTGAGTTCATTATCTCTTGTTCTTGCAGAGGTGAGTGTGTCCTTGTACTATACGTTTGTTTGTTGTTGTATCTCTGACTTTACATCTCAAAGATGAAAGAACATAGACTCTCTATGCTTTCCCAAACCACATGAAGTCCTTTCATCTCACTGGAATTATGATGCATCCATTGAGAACAAGTGTGTTACTTAAAACGTGTTTATGGGCTTGTCTGTGATCAGAATTATTTAGATTCAAATGAGTTTGGCCTTGCAAACACAAGTACTTCTCTTTTCAGTCAGTGCAGCTGCACATTGAAGTGGGCTCTCCAAACAACAGGACACCATTCATTTTACATCATTTACAAATTTGAAAGATAAACATGTTTAATGCTGTGATTAAAAGCAGCTAAATTGTCAGAGGAAGCAATAAGATTCAACACTCTGAATACTCAATCTAGAAATTTTCCACCATTGTCAGTGTTTGTTTCCTCTTCTCCATCCCTGCTGTTTAAAGGTGCCGCCATTGTATCATTTCAGATGAGCAGCACAAATAGCAATTACAGCAAATGCCAGCAGTATCATTTGCATGTAAATTGCTTTTTTCATTTATCCAAAGTGAGTTTTTTAACCTGACCCCAACCCTGGATTTCGTGTTTGTTGCATAAAAGCCAGTGCCTCTTGGGACCTGCTGATATGGTGCATATTTGGAAATGTTTAAGACAGGATTTATAGACTTAAGATAGATGGGATTTATAGAGGATATAATGCATCTGGGTCATGTGGATTGTTAGGTTCAAGAGCATATCTTTGATGAAAACCTCCAGACCTCACTTTGAATAGTAAAATGTCTGCCTAAAATCCCTGAGTATGATAACATGAGCTTCAATCTGATGTCCAAAAATAACAGATAAAATGTCAGGCATTTGGACCACTCAGATCCACATAATACTGCAGGCTGAGAGCATCCTAGGCCTGGATACACACTGTACATTTGTATGAATGTGACAGTG